CCTCGGGGCTCATGACCATGGTCTTGGCTGAATGGGAAGGCGCTGCGTCGCACCATTAACTTGAATGTTGAAAATCAAGAGTGTGTCATAGAGCCCCTTCTCAGCAGTTATCGCTGCTAGAGCGTGGGATTGACACTTCACACACACACGTTTCCTCTACGGACACACACTGCTGTCCACCAGAGCCAGAGGTTGCAGTTGACCTTGCCCTTCACTGACAGGCAGCTTCCCTCTGCTGCAGCCCGCCATTCATGTCATAATTCACTGTTTCATCCTGTCTGAAGCAGCAGCAGGAGAGGCAGCTTTTGGTTGTGTTTCCCAGATGAAACACAGCATCTCAAGTCATGCCAAGTCCAAGTCCCTTTTGTTTTGTTTTCTGCTGAGTCTTCCTTCTTTCCACAAAGGGGTAAAGAATGAGTGTGTGTCTCTGCAGCATTGTTCTTTGTGGGTGTGAAATGCACGATAAATCCTTCCCAGGCCAGCAATCCATCGCTCTGACAATGATAATCAAAGATGCATTGAAGCAAAGGACACACACACCCCCTCTAACCACACACCCTGCTTCTCTGCAACTTGGCTGTGATTTGGAAACTGTCATCTTTTTTCTGTCTGCTCAGCTCTTTTGGGGTGTTTTATGTGTCTCCTTGCACCCACAGTGGCCCTGGCGTCAAACCCAAACCGGCCCTCGTCGCTGAGCATGGAGGGTGACTCACAGCCATGATGCCTATACGACGGGAGGACTTCACAGTCATTACGACGCTGCACGCCGCAGCACTGCCTCTAATTCACTCACTGAGGGGTGTCCTGTAAATCAGACGTCCCTGTGCTCCTGTTGTTGCTGCTGAGAGGGAGGCAGCTCAAGGACCAGCTGATTGACTCAGCGGCCGGCTGTTTCCACACTCAGCAAAACACCGGGACTGTCTTTATGACTGAACTTTATACATGGATAGATTACCTGTCAGAGAAAAGCTCACTTTGGTATGTGGGCTGACAGTGTCACGGTGCAGACTAACAGCCTGCTAAGCTCTACTTCAATATGGAGCGTTCACAGTGAAAGACAAATTGATGAGAAATACAATCCTCCTTTGGCAAAGACATATACTCAGGGAGATATCTATCTATGTGTTTATGAGGATGAAATAAAGATCTAAACCAGAGGCCAAGGACCTCTATACTGAAAGAGTGATGGAGCAAGAAGCCCCTACAACATCCTGTATGTAAACCTATACAAAAGATATTCATATTAAAAGTTTAACATTTTCAAGGTGCATACAATACTAAGCTATTAAAAAATAGCCAAAACGATCTACTTAGCTGTTATGTGTCGCATTGTGATTTAGCGTTAGCTGGCTCATGTGATTGCACAAGGGTTCATTGGTAAGAGTTAAAGTTTTTTTTATTTGTATGAATTTACCGATGTAATCTTCCTTAATATGCATGCAAGTGAAGCATTTCTTAAAAGAGTGCAGTGCAACCAATTTCAATTACGATTCTTAACAAATGTAAGTTGTCAAAAAGTGGGAGGCAAGCCTGAGATTGAAAGTAACTGGATATGAAAAGAAGTTCACTAGCCTGTTATGGAGCTGCTGGTCCGTGGGCACAGCAATGATTTGAGCTAAATGCTAACCTCAGCATGCAAACTTCAGAAGCTAACGTTTATTGTTTACTAAGTTCACAAGCTAACAGTGTAAGCAGGTTGATGTTTGTTAGTTGATGGTAATGCCATTATACCTGTAGGTATTATGTTATAAACCAAAGTACTGGACAAATTAAACTTTTAAGCTAATACATCATATTGTTGGGAAAACTATTTCAGAGTGAAAAGTGATTCTATTTTTCACTCTGCTCTCTCGCATGTTAATACATAGCCTACTTAGATTGAAGCAGACTCCAGCTACTACTCATGTAAATTGGATGAGAGAAGTGATGACACATTTTGATTGAAAGAATAATAAATACATTCTCATTTAAAAGAAGAAAGCTAGATGAAATATCAGAGGACCACCAAGGTCTTTATGAATCTTCCTGGGTACACCATGGGTGCCTTCAAAGGTGTCAATAGGAATAATGCATACATTCATCCATTAATGTGTCTGTTGAAATTCATGGCAATCCATCCATCCCTTGAGATGTTTTACTGAAAAATGCAACAGCAACACCAGAAACAGTGTCCCAGCTACTCTTGATAATTAATTTTTCACCATTTTTTTCTACCAAAGAAATACTCACTGTGAAAACTGTTAAGAATGTATCACAGTATTTTCTTTCTTTCATACACACCCACTTAACCTTGCCCAAGACTTGCAAAGCTTTTCATGCTTTCAATCCTTCATCTCTGTATAATACGTACTTATGTTGAAATGGTGGGTTGTATGTTTACGTGGTTGCCTTGTGTTCCACATCGTTCACTCGGTGCAGAAGGCTGCATTTCAGTGTTTTAAAGCTCACCACAGTGGAACAAATTCTGGTCACCTTTGTCACTGGCTTGTCTTCAGACTTTGTGGTTCAGCCAGGTTTGTGGCCCTCACCTAAATCACCCACAGGAAAGCCATCTATTCAGCAGGAGGAGAAGTGTCATCTCTGAGGTTTCTAACAAATTACAGCCTTCACTTGCAGAGAAAGCCGAGCAAGCTTTAACCTGAGAGAGTGTTTTTGGCCGGGGCGAAGGGAAAACTGCTCTGAGAATTGAAGAAACACTCCTGAAAGAAAAGTGTCTCATATTTAGCGGTGTCTTTCTTCTGATAGAGAAGACGAAGCACTCGCTGTCAGTGCCAAAGCCGAAGAAAGTTCTCTGCATACTCTGTCGGAGACTGATATGATAAACGGTGTCCTTCCTGGCAACACAGCTCGGGCTGCATTTGATAAAGGAGAGTGCATTTGATAAGATTTTTCAATTTTGTGCGGCAACCGTTTATGTATAGCCCTATATCCAGGCCGTGTCATGAATAGATAAGTGCACTGCTGCACGTAACTGCCAAAGCACAACATTGACCTCAACGTATGTCTCTAAAACACATAAAAAAAACATCACAGGACACAGTTTTGACTTTTACACGTATGCTTATTCTGGTTTAAAATTGTAGGATTCTTGAGTGCCTGCAGCTCATGCAATATATCTGCAACGTCAATGTTTGATTCCAGCCTCAGGACCTTTGCTGCATGTCATCACCCCTCTGTCATCAACCCCCATGTCTACACTGTCCCATGACAAATGAAGGCAAATGAGCCAACATCTTGAATTTGTTGTTATCTTTATCCTTACATTTTAACTTAAGGGTTAACAGAAATGGTTTTGTATTACATATCCATCAAATTAGGTGACTCAATAAATCCTAAATAATAATTATTGCAGGAGCAGGGATAATTTGACTTTAAGTCCCTATGGTGGTTAAGCACGGAAAAGACTGGAGCCTACATTTCTCACAATGCAATTTGATCTTGTCATTGAAAAGCAAGCTACTTAGTTGACACAAACATCTTTATAGCACCTATTATAACATATGTTTTATGTTGTGAATTTGAAGAATGCGAGCCCTCGGCTGAGATACACCTGATAACATCAAAATAACCCTGTAAGAGCCACAAAGGACACCATACAACATGACAAGTAAATAGACTCAATTGTCTATTGTGTGTGAATGTGCTTTGAATAGTGCTTTTTTTTCCTTATGTTTATACTTTATTATATAATTTGTGTTTTCATGCGCAAAAATCTGTTTTATATTAAAAGGCTCAAGGACACTACCTGTTTAACCAACGAATAAAATATAATTTCACCCTGGCTAAACAAATTGCATCTCATAGACAGGGTGCATAATCTTGTGTTTAGTTGTAGTTAGTTAGTAGTTAGTATTCCTTGTAGATCTCAGAAGGTAAGGACAGAACAGGAAGATGTCTTGTTATCAGTTGTTCCATACAAAAATCTCTACAAGTGTGATGCTGAGATATGCTTGATTGCCTTACAATTATAAACAGACCTCTATTTTTAGCTGTCCTGTTTTGTTCTTGCTAAGTGTTTCACTAACAACATCAAACACCAACTTTTTTTATTTTAAGAAACATTTTCAATGCATTCCGTAATGTTTCTATCTACAATTTTAACTTCATAAAATACAGTCTTTAGCATACATACATTGTATAACACGAAGAACAATCGCTGCATTCCAAAAAACAACAACAGAAAAAAAAAGTTAAATCCTTAACATTGTTATTGAGAAGCAAACAAAAAAGCCCAATCAAGCTCCTCTTGTTTTAATACAATGTAATCTAGCATATAGTCTACACGATGGAGTTAATTATTTACAATGGATGCAAATCATGCACACATTAAAAATACAAAATCTGACTTGATGATCATTTTAATATACATTAAATGATTATTCTGAGGTCCATAAATTCAATTTAATATATGCAAATCACTGATTTAAGGGGAAGCACTACATGTTGGGTGTGTGTGAAGTTGTTTGTGATGGTCTCATATCGCATTTCTTCATACCTTAAGCCCCTGGATAATATTTTTGTAATTTTTCTCATGGACAAAGGATTTAGTGTTTTGTATCTGAATGTGTGAGAGATAATCTGGTGTTGTTTCAGAAGAAATGCTAATAAATTCACAATATAATGTGAGTAGATTGTGTATTACACTCTTTAACCTTTCCCTTGATAAAAACCTATTCATGATTTGTAACCAAATGTTTGCCTGTAACTTAACATTGAAAGGCTCAACAGGACAATGTCAGAGATTGCCTGGAGAGATGATACTGGTGGTTATAAGGGGCATGATGCCGTGAAGGTGGAAAAATGACAACTAAAGGAAAGCATAAAAAGGGAATCAGCTATCCTGACAGAATCCTGAATGTGTTGGGGGTGTGTGACTTGTTTTTTTAACGTTGACATGTTTAAAATCATAATAAACATAAACTCTGCCTAAGGACATTGTCAGACGGTGCCTAACTGTGCAGGCTGAGTAGTTGATGCTGGATCTCAGGGCAGCAGCTCAGTCCGTCGCTGCAGTCCCACAGAGCGGCTACTCATCAACATCCTCTCGGTGTCCCCGGAGCTGTGTACCGCTATGTGGCTCTAAACCGACTGTTCAAACTGGAGCAGGCTTTACCACGACGAGGACGAATGTGGATTTGAGGACACCTGCAAACAGGGACTTATTCTTCCAAAAGACGGACCGGGAATCCTCTTTTTCACCGAGCAAATGAGAAAGGTGGTGATGCAGCAGCTACACAAGAGACTGTCAGTTGATTACCAGCTAGCTAGCATTAGCAACATAGCCCAATAGCTATATGCGGGCTATAAATAAATATTTCACAGGTTAGTTAAAATGTCAGCGAGTCCAAGCACATATGGCGGAATACTTTTATTAGTATGCATGATTTTTCCCTCATGTTGCCTGTCAGTTTATTCCCCGCTGTGCGTGTTTTCTGTTAGCCACCGTTAGCTGACTGAGTTAGCCGCTTGTTAGCTATGTAGCATTTATTTTAGTATCGGCTAATCACCTCACACAGACTGGCACTGTGAGGATGAACTTGGTATTCTGTGTGGTGCTCTATACAGACCCGATGGAAAACTACCTGGATAAGGAGGAAAAAGGCTCCATCTATTTGAACGTCATCTGCCTCGATCATTTGGGCATAACTACGACCCCTTATGTTGGTGTTTAAAGGGGCTTTATTTCCATCTATCTATCCATTCATCCATCCTTCATATTAGCAATTAAAGCAGTTGCTGTCTATTTCTGCATATACGGTCATGGGGGACCAGGGGGAGTAAAGGCAGCCTGCGCCTTTTCGAAAATACACCCACATGGGTATTTGCTGGATGAATTTGAGTTTAGATATAATACAGCACATGCATGCAGTGTATTTAGCTTGCATGTCTTGCCCTTCTCGCTGCCACACAAATAGGAATTATGATTCCAGTCGTCTCCGGTGTGTACGGATAGCAAGAGGATTTGCGATGTTGCTCTTCATCTCTGTCATTCTTTGTAATTTTATCACGATCTATGTCTGATAGCAAGCTATATGGCGCTGCAATGCAATAAAACAGCAACATAGAAAGCTGGGGGCTCATTCTGCAATGTGTCCTGGCAGAGATGGCAGTATGCGCAGTTTAAGTGAAGGCAGTTGTTTGTGATGGTCTCATAGATATCGCATCCCTTGATACCTTAAGCCCCTGGATAATATGTTTGTCATTTTTCTCATGGACAAAGGATTTAGTGTATCTGAATGTGTGAGAGATAATCTGGTGTTGTTTCAGAAGACATGCTAATAAGTTCACAACATAATGTGAGTAGATTGTGTATTTATATACTTTAAGCTATCGCTGAATAAAAAACCTATTCATGATTTGTCACCAAATGTTTGCTTGTGACTTAGCGTTGAAAGGCTCAACAGGACAACGTCAGAGATTGCCTGGAGAGATGATACTGGTGGTTATAAGGGGCATGATGCCGTGAAGGTGGATAAATAACAACTATAGGGAAGCATAAAAAGGGAATCAGCTATTCTGACAGAATCCTGAATGTGTTAAGGCAGTGTGGTTAAGATGAAGGAAGGAACAGATCAGATTTCTCTAAAATGGTGTCGAGTGTCTGGTAACTACTCAGTATATTGGTTTCTATGACTTAATGTTTACTAACCAACTCTGCAATGCTAATTTTGTGCCTGTAATGTTCTTTTTTTCAGAATCGTCATGACCCTTTTCCCTTGGACCTGTCACTCCTTCACTGACGGACCTCTGCCCTTTTTGGTTTCTGGACTTATTATTACCGGGATGAGATAATAAAGTCATCCAGCTCGTGCATGCTGCTACAACAACACCTGTGGCACTTGTAAACCCACCTTGCCCTGCCCCCCTAACCCCTCCCCAAGCTAAGATCAAGTCAACAGTTGAACCATGACGACACCAGCTCTCCTGCCTCTGTCGGGCCGCAGGATACCCACTCTGTCTCCGGGAGCCTCCTCTTTCCCGCATCACAGGGCCACGCTGAGGCTCTCCGAGAAGTTCATCCTCCTCCTCATTCTCAGTGCCTTCATCACCTTGTGCTTCGGGGCCTTCTTCTTCTTACCGGACAACTCCAAGCACAAGCGCTTCGACTTGGGTTTGGAGGATGTGCTCATCCCTCATATTGACTCGCCCAAAGAGGGAAAGCACGCCTCTGGACAGGTGGTCATTCATGGACAAGGGGCACATGACGAGCACAGGCACAGGTATGGACTAAATTACAATGTTTTGTATATCTAGTATGCCAAACTGAATGTTGTATCCTATTTTCTTTTTCTTCTTATGAATGATTAGGAGAGGAAGCATTTTAATAGTTTCCTTTTCATTTGTTTTCAACACTAATAATATCACACTCAAAACAGGTGCTCTGACATTCTTCATTTCTTCTGCATTCTGTTGTGATACCCAATACCCATGGGTGTTACAGAGCTTGTTGACTGACACACTGAACAGTTAGTTACACGTCAGCACATGTGTTCCCTCTTCTTTACTTCCCTTTTGTGCAGCTCTGGGTGCTGAATGCTTTACCCGCTGTGTTATTATTGGGAGCAATGGTTTAGGTTCTTGTACTACAGAAAATGTGTATTACCTTGGCCACAGTATTCTCATCGCAGAGGCAGATATGGCTGAACTTGATGAGCTAGAACACACAGACTGTTTGAAAAGCTTTCGTAAATGCTCAAACAGGCTTGAAATGACTGCCCGCCAAAAATGCCATGAGCCAAATGCTGGTAGATTTTGGCTGCAGCTTTTTACATTTGTCGTTTGGTTTGTTCAGCCTCTTTGGCCGAGAGCCAGCCGTCGCTTTTGGGCTCAACCCCCCCCCCAATGTAGTTTTACATTTTTTTTGATTGATGTAATGAAATATTATGCCTTTTTTATTGGAACACATAACACACTACATAAATGAATCCTACTGCACTTACAGGTGTTTTATTTTATGATGACGAATGACTTGTGTCTGAAATAATGGCTCAAAATACCAAACAGTAGGTGGAAAGGATCATTTTATTTGAAAGGTCTCTATTCTTGAGTTGGCGGTCATTAGTTGAACTGAGTGCTGGGCAAGGTGTTAAAAGCATTTTCTCAAACAGCTTCACACTGGCTTCCAAGTGTTGCCTCCTCATCCCCCGTGGAGCCGCTCATTTCTCCATCCTGAAAGCCTTTCTCGAGCTTCAGGGATTCTGCCTGCTTTAAATATTGTAATTATTTTAGCCCAGCGACTCGGAAGGAGCCGACAGTATTGGGCTCAAGTTGTGCTGGGAGTCATAGCCGGAAACATAAAGGTAGGAATAGAGGAGCGTTTAGAGCTTAAAGTGACTAGATGGTGTTTCTCCTTTTCTTTGGGGTTCAGTCATTTGATCCTGAAACATTTGACATGATCCCTCTCCTTTTATTAGTACATCCAAGACAGTGTCCTGTGCAAATTTAGTGAGCTCTCATTGTTCTTTCTTTCAGCATGCATACTTGTTCACATGTTATACCAATTGGTTTTGGGATATACGTGTTCCTCAGGGTTCAGCAACGGATAGCAGAAGGTTTATTTAGTTTGTTTCTTAGCACCTTTATGATCTGATTAATTTTTTTTTATTGCAGTCTTAAGCCATAGCTCACATCTTTGGAATACATGAGATGGTTATCATGTAATTAATTGAAAATGATTTTAAATGGCGTTATTTAAATAGTATGAAGAAGTACATTCATAAGAATGACAATTGAGTTCAGATTTAAAAAATGCAACAAGTCATCACAGATATCTCAGTATGGCTACTTGTTTGATTGAATAGGTTTTTTATCCAATGTGGTCTGTTCAAATGAGATGAGATACAAAAAAAAGCCACTGAGATGTCCCTGGTAACATGCTTTGAGATCATTTCAAACATCTGCCTGTGTGAAAGCATTCATGTGATGTTTTTTTTGTCACAGTTTAAAGCGGCTTATGGAAATGTGTTCAATTTGCTTTTTGGTATAGCTGCCTCAGCTGTATTTTAAAGACATCATTGTGAGCTCCAGAGGACCATGGTTCACACAGCCCCCGGAAAATGAGGCGCGCAAGCTTTTAAAGACCCCCTCAGGAGCTCAGGCAGGCTCTTAATGATTTCACCTGTACTTTATTTTGCCACAGAAAAACCTCACAGAACCTGTTCTCTGTTCACACGCTGACCCTGTTGATATGAATCCGTTGAGAGAGAAATGGTTATTATTCTATTTGCCATAGGGCATCCATTTCATATTGTTAACTCTAAAGATATAAACAATAATTCAAAGAAATATGGTTGAAGGACCATTGCACACATCTGGCCTGTGCTCCGTGTACTATACACTTAGGAGTGGTTGTTTTTAACATCGTAATACAAATGAAAGCAGAACATATGAACCAGTTGCATGTGCTTTGCTCTTTACCCTTGATGATAAAAGGTTTAGTGTTGTGTTCTAAACATGAGCAAAGTCTTTACGACCACCCTGTTGCTCAGGTGGGGCGTGGCGCTATAAGCATGTTGTTTTTTTACATTTAATAATATTATGCAATATATGGTATATCAGACTATAAGACCATTTATTCTCACAGCTCAGATAGGACTTCAATACATCTGTTTTCTTGTCACATACTTAACTTCTATCCTGTCAAGCCCCCTCAAGTCAGTCAGGTTTACAACCATGGAAACATTTAGTCTCCGACTGTTAGAATATTTCAATCTGTTTCTCCAATATCATTGTTCATGGCTGTTTTCGATTGACTTTGAGGATTTTTTTTTTTTTTAAATAGCTCATTCATCTCGCAAAACAACTATATTTGACCTAAAGGTTTTAGTAGTGCCTCGTGGTTATGAAGTATTTTTGGTTTCTTTTTTGAGATGTATTGTTTTGAGGTTGCAATCCAGTAAAACAACGTTTGATGTTTTTTTGTGTGCATTTGGTAAACTCCATATACTAAGGATAATCCTCAGACCTTCATGCCAACCATCTTTTATTTAGATTTTTCCTTTTTATTAATTTAAATATGACGGCCAACTAAGTATTTATGCACAGCAGGAGGCATGGGAGGAATACTAAAAGGATGAGTGCTGGAAAGTGATCTTCTATGCAAGGGTGATTTGTAACTGCATTTTTGCTCCATATGTCACAATGAATGATCTCTCTCTTCATGTGATGGAGCATGTAAGGAAAGATATGTTAACGTGTATATAATTGCTTTAATGCGTCCATTAGATTGGCGCCTAGGAAATGGTTTGCGTTTCATATTGAATGTGCACAGAGGAATGTATACTTTGGCTGCATTTTTTTTTTTGAAGCATGCAGCGCCAACCATTTACAAGGTGAAACTGAAATGAAAAACCTTCGGATGGCTGTCTAAAGTGCTAGAAATCACTTCAGTGTAATGCTCTGTACAGCGTATCATACTGTGAGGCCGTTAATGACTCTGCCTCGGATTTGTTTTGGTCTGACTCAAACCAATAAAGGGGTAGCCAGGAGCGGTACTCTTCATCTGAGAGGGGGCAAGGTGACATGTACTGTAGACAGAGGCAGCGACATTTCAGTTACAGATTAGCCAAAGGTGGTCGGTATAGGAGCAATAGGGAAGGCAACAAAAAGTGTATGGATGTCAGACATGGGGACGTTGTTTCATAATTCATTGAGTTGCAATGTGGACTGAATTCTGTATTTTTAAGAGTCGGTTTTAATTGCAAAACAGAAAATAAATAATTGTGCCACCAGTCTATGAGATAATGGATAAGCAAGGCCAGTGCAGGTTAATAAACATTTAATGAATTGCTCTAAGAAATGCTAGATATCTTGTAGCATAGCTCGGAGATAATTTGATATCCTTATTGATCGGCAACCTTCAATGGAATCATGACAACATTGTTCTATAATATTCTTATTGCTTTACAACAAGCAATATCAAAATGAATGTTTCTTAACGAGTCGTAGTTCAAAACCACGAGGTAAAGAAGTTTTACAGTTGTTAATGGGATTTAGCATGCGTTTACTTTGCCTATAGTTGAGATTATTAATGATTATTCGATTTGTTGTGCGACAGTAAAATAACACCAACTATTTCAATAATCAATCCTAAAGGAAGCTTAACTGCTTTTCTCTGTTGTTCATCATGGTACATTAAATGTCTTTGGAGCTATTTGCAGATCTCACCTTGGGCTGTGAGAAATGGTGATGTCTTTTTAATAGTCAAAGATAAATGGTAAAGGTTATTGTCAGATTAAAACATTATTAAGATAATTGTTGGTTGTAGCCCTTCATTTTCTATTATGTGGCGTATCTATAGTTACGTTGGAAAATATATTTATGTATAATCAACACATCAATCATAACCTTACCTTGAAGTCGGCTTGAAAATCTTTTTTTCTCTGCAGATATTTACCTTTTAGAATGAATGAATCTGTCTGAATTGTTTATTTTTTAACGGTTTGGTAATTGCATCATAAGCCTTCATGCTGGGTACTTGCCAAAGAACACAGAACATCTGAGAGGCTTGCAATCTGCCACCAGAATTAACCATTTGGCTAGGTAGTAGGGCTGCTCGATTATGGCAAAAATCATAATCACGATTATTTTGGTCAATAATTGATATCACGATTATTAAATACGATTATTCATTGACTTTGAAAACATCCATTTATTGAACTTTAAAACAAATAATAATTTGAACAGTATCTTTTTAACTGTTGATTACCCTGAACGTATAATTCAACTGAAAATACAAAAATAAATTAAATAAATGATACATTTAAATAAATAATATCAAAATAATAAATACCAATGAACAAGATCAACAAATATTTTGGAGCGCACTTCCACAAGCTACGAAACATATATAAATAAATTAGACTAAAATGAATTAGATCAAGTATGTTCTAGTGCACTGTCACAACTTCACAATCGTGAAGTTTGCTGATGACACGACCGTCATCGGCCAGATCACAGACGATGACGAGACGGCATACAGAGAGGAGGTCGAAAACCTGACATCTTGGTGCCAGGAGAACAACCTCCATCTCAACATCAGCAAAACAAAGGAGCTGATTGTGGATTACAGGAAGCAGCAGGGAGAGGGACACGCCCCCATCGCCATCAATGGGACTACGGTGGAGAGAGTCAAAAGCTTCAGGTTCCTTGGGGTCCACATCACTGAGGACCTGACATGGTCTCTTCACACCACCACCATCACCAAGAAAGCTCGACAGCG